TCTCTGATACGGTCCATCACCCTCCCCCGTCCGGGGTCCATGATATATCCGCTGTCTCTGATACGGTCCATCACCCTCCCCCGTCCGGCGTCCATGATATATCCGCTGTCTCTGATACGGTCCATCACCCTCCCTCGTCCGGGGTCCATGATATATCCGCTGTCTCTGATCCGGTGCATCCCCCTCCCCCGTCCGGGGTCCATGATATATCCGCTGTCTCTGATACGGTCCATCCCCCTCCCCCGTCCGGCGTCCATGATATATCCGCTGTCTCTGATACGGTCCATCACCCTCCCTCGTCCGGGGTCCATGATATATCCGCTGTCTCTGATACGGTCCATCACCCTCCCCCGTCCGGGGTCCATGATATATCCGCTGATCACCCCTCCCCCGTCCGGGGTCCATGATATATCTGCCGCTGTCTGTACTTAATCTGTTCTCCTAATCTTGTCTCTTGCAGCTCTCAGTGGTGGAGTATGACCCGGAAATACATGATCTGAAGACTCTGTCTCTGCATTACTTCGAGGAGCCTGAGCTGCGGGTGGGTGGGATGTCTCGCATGCTGAACACAGTCCAGTGATGCCGGGTTCTGGTATCTGCGGGTTCCCTGCTCTTTACCTTGCATTGTACTATATACAGCTGTGTACTTCCTGTTTGTCAATTCACTTTATGTGTAACATGTGTTCAGTCTTCTCTATTATGGGATGTCAGAGAGGAGGAGAGGTCACCTGACCAGTCACATGAGCGGCTTCATTTCTGTCCCCTCTTCCCCTCTCTCTGTCTCTCCCCCTTCTATCGCTTTTGAAGTGTATGTTGGTGATCCCCGATCATTCAGGGCACTATAAATAATGATATCATGATGCAATCACTATTCTTTGAGGAAAATGACATTAAATAGAAATTTTACCTAAAATTTTAGTCTAGCTTCCAGGGCTAGTGAGAGCGGAGACTTGTCATGATGATCGGCAGCTTCCCCCGGGGCAGGGGTGCGCGCCTCCATGGACAGGGCAGGGGTGCACGCCTCCATGGACGGGGCAGGGGTGCGCGCCTCCATGGACGGGGCAGGGGAGGGCGCCTCCATGGACGGGGCAGGGGAGGGCGCCTCCATGGACAGGGCAGGGGTGCACGCCTCCATGGACGGGGCAGGGGTGCGCGCCTCCATGGACGGGGCAGGGGAGGGCGCCTCCATGGACAGGGCAGGGGTGCACGCCTCCATGGACGGGGCAGGGGTGCGCGCCTCCATGGACGGGGCAGGGGAGGGCGCCTCCATGGACGGGGCAGGGGAGGGCGCCTCCATGGACGGGGCAGGGGAGGGCGCCTCCATGGACGGGGCAGGGGAGGGCGCCTCCATGGACGGGGCAGGGGAGGGCGCCTCCATGGACGGGGCAGGGGAGGGCGCCTCCATGGACGGGGCAGGGGAGGGCGCCTCCATGGACGGGGCAGGGGAGGGCGCCTCCATGGACGGGGCAGGGGAGGGCGCCTCCATGGACGGGGCAGGGGAGGGCGCCTCCATGGACGGGGCAGGGGAGGGCGCCTCCATGGACGGGGCAGGGGAGGGCGCCTCCATGGACGGGGCAGGGGAGGGCGCCTCCATGGACGGGGCAGGGGAGGGCGCCTCCATGGACGGGGCAGGGGAGGGCGCCTCCATGGACGGGGCAGGGGAGGGCGCCTCCATGGACGGGGCAGGGGAGGGCGCCTCCATGGACGGGGCAGGGGAGGGCGCCTCCATGGACGGGGCAGGGGAGGGCGCCTCCATGGACGGGGCAGGGGAGGGCGCCTCCATGGACGGGGCAGGGGAGGGCGCCTCCATGGACGGGGCAGGGGAGGGCGCCTCCATGGACGGGGCAGGGGAGGGCGCCTCCATGGACGGGGCAGGGGAGGGCGCCTCCATGGACGGGGCAGGGGAGGGCGCCTCCATGGACGGGGCAGGGAGGGCGCCTCCATGGACGGGGCAGGGGAGGACGCGGCTCTCTGCATCCAAGCGCAGACGCCCGGACCCGCACACATGTGCAGTTTCAGGTGTGCGTGTAATTGCGTGCAGCGGCCTTTTCTTCCCTATGGGAGGACACGGCTATCTCCATCCAAGCGCAGACACCCGGTGTGCGTGTGACAGCGTGTAATTGCTTGCAGCCGAGTCCTCCCATAGTGAAGAACGGGGCTGCTGCGCACAATTACATGCAGCACCTCTCCCTTCTGGGACCAGGTCTTTTTACGGGCGTGCACATTGCACGGACATGTATGACCGTCTGAACGAGCCCTTCGTGTTCTCCAGTTTAACCCTTTTGTGCCTCTCTCGGCTTCCTCTCTCTTCTCAGGATGGCTTTGTGCAGAATGTTCACATTCCAAAAGTTCGTGTGGACCCCAATGGACGATGTGCTGTCATGCTGATCTATGGTACCAGCTTGGTGGTGCTGCCTTTCCGGAGGGATACCCTGGCAGAGGATCATGAAGGACCAATGGCTGAGGGGTGAGTTTCCTGCGGTGTGAGGGCCCGGACTGTATGACGTAGCGCTGTATGTGGGCAGCGTGATGACCCGTGCGGTGCCATTGGTTGCCGTGTACAGGAGGGGGAAGGTCTATGTCGGGAGGTATACGGATCGGTAATGGAGCCACGTCTTGTCCCTGCAGACAGAAGTCCAGCTTCTTGCCTAGCTACATCATCGACGTGCGGGAATTGGACGAGAAGCTGCTGAATATCATAGACCTCCAGTTTCTACACGGATACTACGAGCCCACCCTCCTCATCCTCTTCGAGCCAAACCAGACGTGGCCGGGGTGCGTCACCAGTTACCGTGTGTGTCTGTCCTTGCTGCCGTCGTCTTTGTGCCGAGTCTATTGAAGGTTTATCTGTCCCGTGTCTTTTCTCAGACGTGTTGCCGTACGTCAGGACACGTGCAGTATTGTCGCCATCTCCCTGAACATCCTTCAGAAGGTCCATCCCGTCATCTGGTCCCTCTCCAGCTTACCATTTGATTGTACCCAGGCGCTGGCGGTACCGAAACCCGTCGGTAAGTGACTTTGTCCTCGCCGTTGTCGCTCAGACTAACTGTGCGCCATGTGTGCACCGCGCTGTAAAGCTGGTAACAAATTGATGAGCGCGTTTGTCATTTGTTTTGCTTGACTGATTTGGTGCAGCGACGCATGGGGGGTCTCAGCTGGCGTTGTGATGTGCGGGATCCCTTGTGTGTTCCTGTGCCTTTAAGGGAGGTCGGGCTTCCTCCTGACAAACCTGCACCCAGTTTAATCTTCTGCCCCCATGTGCTCCAAGATGGAGACTCTCATAGTTTAGAGTCAGGACCGCACTATAAGAGGAGCCTTGGCGCGGCTTTCACATTTTCTGCAGAATACGGGTATCCAAACCTCTGTTTCTGGGGAATTGGTGGAGAGACAAGGGAAGGTATTATATGCATATATTGCACATCAGCTTTCATGGCTCCTCTCTCTCTCCTCACAGGTGGTGTTGTCATCTTTGCTGTGAACTCTCTGCTGTATCTGAATCAAAGTGTTCCCCCCTACGGAGTGTCACTCAACAGCCTGACCAACGGGACCACCTCCTTCCCACTCAGTATGTTCCTCCCTCCTTGTCATCCGCCTGTCCGCTGTATGTGTGTTCTGCATTGCAGGGCTGATCCTGACTTGTGGTCCTGCCATGTATATGTCTCCCCTCATGCCTTCCTGTGGTCCTGCCATGTATATGTCTCCCCTCATGCCTTCCTGTGGTCCTGCCATGTATATGTCTCCCCTCATGCCTTCCTGTGGTCCTGCCATGTATATGTCTCCCCTCATGCCTTCCTGTGGTCCTGCCATGTATATGTCTCCCCTCATGCCTTCCTGTGGTCCTGCCATGTATATGTCTCCCCTCATGCCTTCCCGTGGTGCTGTCATGCATGTCTCCCCTCATCCCTTCCCGTGGTGCTGTCATGCATGTCTCCTCTCATGCCTTCCCGTGGTCCTGCCTTGTATATGTCTCCCCTCATGCCTTCCCGTGGTCCTGCCATGTATATGTCTCCCCTCATGCCTTCCCGTGGTCCTGCCATGTATGTCTCTCCCCATGCCTTCCCGTGGTCCTGCCATGTATATGTCTCCCCTCATGCCTTCCCGTGGTCCTGCCATGTATATGTCTCCCCTCATGCCTTCCCGTGGTCCTGCCATGTATATATCTCCCCTCATGCCTTCCCGTGGTCCTGCCATGTATATGTCTCCCCTCATGCCTTCCCGTGGTCCTGCCATGTATATGTCTCCCCTCATGCCTTCCCGTGGTCCTGCCATGTATATGTCTCCCCTCATCCCTTCCCGTGGTCCTGCCATGTATATATCTCCCCCCATCCCTGCCATGAATACATCCCCTCCCACTCCACATCTCTTCCCCTCCTATCACACCGTGCGTCATATCCATACATCTCTGGTGTGTCACTTCCTGTAATAAGCTGAATGATGATCTGTCCTCCGCAGAGTCACATGATGATTACCGGATAACACTGGACTGTGCGCAGGCCACCTTCATCTCCTACGACAAAATGGTGATTTCTCTGAAGGGTGGAGAGATGTGAGTCAGACCGCTTGTATTTATTTGTATTCTTCACCTCCACCTCCGGTCGCCTGTAATGACGCCAGATTCCGGCACGGTCGCCTGTAATGGCGCCGGACCCCGGCACGGTCGCCTGTAATGGCGCCGGACCCCGGCACGGTCGCCTGTAATGGCGCCGGACCCCGGCACGGTCGCCTGTAATGGCGCCGGACCCCGGCACGGTAGGGGCCCTGTCTGCTCTCCTGGAGTTTAATAAGCCGAGTTCTCTTCCAGGAAGAGCCTCCGTCTAAGAAGAAACGCGTGGATTCCGCCGTGGCCCGTCCTGGTGAGTGCGCGCGGCTGGCCATTGCGGTGCGGGTGACCTGCGCTCGCCGCTGCCACCCGCGGATCATTTATTGTATTTCCTCTATTCATTGCGGTCACAGAGGAAATTGCAGCTGCTTACCCCACTGTTCTCTTTTTTGTGTCTCGGCAGGCATTAAAGGGGCCTCGGTGGATGAGATTGATGAGATCGAGGTGTACGGCAGTGAGATGCTGTCAGGCACGCAGCTCTCCACATACTCATTCGAGGTTTGCAGAGGCTGAGAATACAATGATATGCAATTGACCCACCTGTATGGGGAGGACAGCAGGTTCTATGACCCACCTGTATGGGGAGGACAGCAGGTTCTATTGACCCACCTGTATGGGGAGGACAGCGGATTCCATTGGCCCACCTGTATGGGGAGGATAGCAGGTTCTATTGACCCACCTGTATGGGGATGATAGCAGGTTCTATTGACCCACCTGTATGGGGAGGACAGCAGGTTCTATGACCCACCTGTATGGGGAGGACAGCAGGTTCTATTGACCCAACTGTATGGGGAGGATAGCAGGTTCTATTGACCCACCTGTATGGGGAGGACAGCAGGTTCTATTACCCACCTGTATGGGGAGGACAGCAGGTTCTATTGACCCAACGGTAGGGGGAGGACAGCAGGTTCTATGACCCATCTGTATGGGGAGGACAGCAGGTTCTATGACCCACCTGTATGGGGAGGACAGCGGATTCCATTGACCCCCCTGTATGGGGGGGATAGTAGGTTCTATTGACCCACCTGTATGGGGATAATAGCAGGTTCTATTGACCCACCTGTATGGGGAGGACAGCGGATTCCATTGACCCACCTGTATGGGGAGGACAGCAGGTTCTATTGACCCACCTGTATGGGGAGGACAACAGATTCCATTGACCCACCTGTATGGGGAGGACAGCAGGTTCTATTGACCCACCTGTATGGGGAGGACAGCGGATTCCATTGGCCCACCTGTATGGGAGGATAGCAGGTTCTATTGACCCATCTGTATGGGGATGATAGCAGGTTCTATTGACCCACCTGTATGGGGAGGACAGCGGATTCCATTGACTCACCTGTATGGGGAGGACAGCAGGTTCCATTGACCCACCTGTATGGGGAGGACAGCAGGTTCTATTGACCCACCTGTATGGGGAGGACAGCAGGTTCTATTGACCCACCTGTATGGGGAGGACAGCGGATTCCATTGACCCATCTGTATGGGGAGGATAGCAGGTTCTATTGACCCACCTGTATGGGGAGGACAGCAGGTTCCATTGACCCACCTGTATGGGGAGGACAGCAGGTTCCATTGACCCACCTGTATGGGGAGGACAGCAGGTTCTTGGTGTGCTCCGGATGAGGTAATGATGGCACAGTGTTGTCATATAAAAATGCATCTAAATAGGATTCAGCGCAACCTCAGTGCGGAGTTTTTTTTTATTCTGGTTACCGATGGCAACCTGTCCTGGTTTCTCTTTCGCACAGTAAATTCTGATTTGGTCGCTATGGGTTACTGCACATAAGAATAGGAACTCCTCACTGAATAAGGCCGGCTATATGGGTACACTATTTTATGACATGTTACTCTTCTCTCTTCTCTGACAGGTGTGCGACAGCATCTTAAACATCGGACCTTGTGCTACGGCATCCATGGGGGAGCCCGCCTTCCTGTCTGAGGAGGTAAGTGGCCCCTGGCTGCTTGGAGCGGTGCTATGTGTTGAAAATGAGGATCCTTCAAGCTGCCCTTCTTGTATCCAAATTTCCATCTCTCCCCTCTCCTGCCTGTCTGCAGCGGCTTCTCCCCTCTCCTGCCTGTCTGCAGGGACTGCTCCCCTCTCCTGCCTGTCTGCAGGGACTGCTCCCCTCTCCTGCCTGTCTGCAGGGACTGCTCCCCTCTCCTGCCTGTCTGCAGGGACTGCTCCCCTCTCCTGCCTGTCTGCAGGGGCTGCTCCCCTCTCCTGCCTGTCTGCAGGGGCTGCTCCCCTCTCCGGTTCCCATGATTGACATTGTTGCTGACATTGTAGTTTCAGAATAGCCCTGAGCCGGACCTGGAGATCGTCTTGTGTTCTGGATACGGGAAGAACGGGGCTCTCTCTGTGCTGCAGGTGAGGCTGCGCTGACCTCTGTCACTCTCCTCCTTTCTGTATTGTTAGCAGTGAAGGTCATGTCTATAAATGGAAGGACTGAGCTGGGGGACTGTGGGGTGCTCACCCTTCAAGATTCCTTCATCTATGTGATGTATATCTTCTCCCACCTCTTGTAGTCAGTCAGGGTGGAGATTGTAGTTCACTGATAGGATACGGGGGGAGGGGAATTACAGCTAGTTAACGTCCTGTAATCATACAGAGCCCATCAGAGAACCTCTACTGTGCCCCCCGAAACTGCTCAGTGACCCCTCTCTGTGTCCTCGGGCTTCATGGGGACTTATGTATCCAACCTCCCATCACGTGTCCTCTCCTCTAGTGCCACCGGGACTGCATGCATTACAGAAGACATCACTAACTGCCCATCATGCGTCTGCTCCTCTAAGCCAGTGCCATGTATGGGGAGGACAGCAGGTTCTATGACCCACCTGTATGGGGAGGACAGCAGGTTCTATGACCCACCTGTATGGGGAGGACAGCGGAGTCCGTTGACCCACCTGTATGGGGAGGAAAGGAGGTTCTATTGACCCACCTGTATGGGGAGGATAGTAGGTTCTATTGACCCACCTGTATGGGGATAATAGCAGGTTCTATTGACCCACCTGTATGGGGAGGACAGCGGATTCCATTGACCCACCTGTATGGGGAGGACAGCAGGTTCTATTGACCCACCTGTATGGGGATAATAGCAGGTTCTATTGACCCACCTGTATGGGGAGGACAGCGGATTCCATTGACCCACCTGTATGGGGAGGACAGCAGGTTCTATTGACCCACCTGTATGGGGATAATAGCAGGTTCTATTGACCCACCTGTATGGGGAGGACAGCGGATTCCATTGACCCACCTGTATGGGGAGGACAGCAGGTTCTATTGACCCACCTGTATGGGGAGGACAGCGGATTCCATTGGCCCACCTGTATGGGAGGATAGCAGGTTCTATTGACCCATCTGTATGGGGATGATAGCAGGTTCTATTGACCCACCTGTATGGGGAGGACAGCGGATTCCATTGACTCACCTGTATGGGGAGGACAGCAGGTTCCATTGACCCACCTGTATGGGGAGGACAGCAGGTTCTATTGACCCACCTGTATGGGGAGGACAGCAGGTTCTATTGACCCACCTGTATGGGGATGATAGCGGATTCCATTGACCCATCTGTATGGGGAGGATAGCAGGTTCTATTGACCCACCTGTATGGGGAGGACAGCAGGTTCCATTGACCCACCTGTATGGGGAGGACAGCAGGTTCCATTGACCCACCTGTATGGGGAGGACAGCAGGTTCTTGGTGTGCTCCGGATGAGGTAATGATGGCACAGTGTTGTCATATAAAAATGCATCTAAATAGGATTCAGCGCAACCTCAGTGCGGAGTTTTTTTTTATTCTGGTTACCGATGGCAACCTGTCCTGGTTTCTCTTTCGCACAGTAAATTCTGATTTGGTCGCTATGGGTTACTGCACATAAGAATAGGAACTCCTCACTGAATAAGGCCGGCTATATGGGTACACTATTTTATGACATGTTACTCTTCTCTCTTCTCTGACAGGTGTGCGACAGCATCTTAAACATCGGACCTTGTGCTACGGCATCCATGGGGGAGCCCGCCTTCCTGTCTGAGGAGGTAAGTGGCCCCTGGCTGCTTGGAGCGGTGCTATGTGTTGAAAATGAGGATCCTTCAAGCTGCCCTTCTTGTATCCAAATTTCCATCTCTCCCCTCTCCTGCCTGTCTGCAGCGGCTTCTCCCCTCTCCTGCCTGTCTGCAGGGACTGCTCCCCTCTCCTGCCTGTCTGCAGGGACTGCTCCCCTCTCCTGCCTGTCTGCAGGGACTGCTCCCCTCTCCTGCCTGTCTGCAGGGGCTGCTCCCCTCTCCTGCCTGTCTGCAGGGGCTGCTCCCCTCTCCGGTTCCCATGATTGACATTGTTGCTGACATTGTAGTTTCAGAATAGCCCTGAGCCGGACCTGGAGATCGTCTTGTGTTCTGGATACGGGAAGAACGGGGCTCTCTCTGTGCTGCAGGTGAGGCTGCGCTGACCTCTGTCACTCTCCTCCTTTCTGTATTGTTAGCAGTGAAGGTCATGTCTATAAATGGAAGGACTGAGCTGGGGGACTGTGGGGTGCTCACCCTTCAAGATTCCTTCATCTATGTGATGTATATCTTCTCCCACCTCTTGTAGTCAGTCAGGGTGGAGATTGTAGTTCACTGATAGGATACGGGGGGAGGGGAATTACAGCTAGTTAACGTCCTGTAATCATACAGAGCCCATCAGAGAACCTCTACTGTGCCCCCCGAAACTGCTCAGTGACCCCTCTCTGTGTCCTCGGGCTTCATGGGGACTTATGTATCCAACCTCCCATCACGTGTCCTCTCCTCTAGTGCCACCGGGACTGCATGCATTACAGAAGACATCACTAACTGCCCATCATGCGTCTGCTCCTCTAAGCCAGTGCCTAGGGGGTCTCGCAAGTGAACAGGGGGGTCGCGATCTGAGTCCCTGGCCAGGAACGCCATCAGGGGGGTACGGCCGGTACTTGTGTGAGGGCCCCCCCCCTGTGCACTTGGTACCTTCCTGAGCACGTGCGCACAGGAAGGTCTTTTTTTTTTACATTGACGGAGCTTCCATTAACACAGCAGCAGTGGAGCACAGCCGCTGGAGCTAAGGATGAGGGGGAGGGGGCTTAGTAGTAGATGGTAATGACACACTGAGCGTCCACGGCGGCGGGTGTAGATTCACAGACTGGCATTAGGAGGGGGAGAGACAAGGAGAGAGACACACTGACCGACGCTGGAGAGAGACGCTGACACTGAGGAGAGAGACACTGACCGACGTTGGGGTCCCTTCAAAATTTCCTTGGGCCAAGAAGGGGTGACGAGTGTAGAAAGTTTCAGAAGGGCAGGAGCGCTGGGAAGGGGCCACGTATCCATCCAGCCATGGTGTGTCCTCTCCTCCAGAGCCCCCGGGAAGGGGCCACGTATCCATCCAGCCATGGTGTGTCCTCTCCTCCAGAGCCCCCGGGAAGGGGCAGCGTACCTACACCCAATACTGAAGAAGTACCCGAGCGTTTCCATTCCCCGGCACAATGTTCTGCAAGGAGGACGGCTTCTCATCATCATTGTACCATTGAAGCGAATCCAAACCCCCGAAAACTAGAATGTAATATTCGACAACGCTCCCTCGCTGTATCTGTGGAGGAGCCGTGTTGTCACCCTAGGACAGGACCACAGAACACCTCCCTCCTCCTTTCCTCTCCTCCATAACATAGAGGGGCGATTATGTAGTCCACAGAGGGAGCGGTGTGACTGATAAAAGTCAGCACAGGAAGTGATCAGCTCGCTTATAGATCGGGAAGTGAGAGAACACATACCGGCGCTCGCTCACCTCTCGATCATCTCCCTGCAGGGATTCCCCCCCCCCCCCCCCTGTAACTCACGCAGCTGGGCGGATCCAGACATCGATGTGGGGATCAGCTGCGGCGTCTCAGTATCCCGCGAGCAGCAGCTCCCTATATACTGAGCCTCGGGTGACTGGAGGACGCTAGTCTGTGTCCCCGAGGAGGACTATGGGGGGAAAGCCCTGACCTCGGAGTTCTCCTTTAACTTTTAGGAAGCGACATTTCCATAATATAATCTGATCGGCTGTTTGTGTTTTCCTGACAGAAGAGTATCCGGCCCCAAGTGGTGACGACCTTTGAACTTCCCGGGTGTCATGACATGTGGACGGTCATTTCCTCCAATGAGGTTCGTGTCCCAAATCCCGAAAAGTTAAGCCCGCTGTGGTCACTCGTCCTTCTCTCTCCTCCCCCGCTGTGGTCACTCGTCCTTCTCTCTCGTCCCCCGCTGTGGTCACTCGTCTTTCTCTCTCGGCCCCCGCTGTGGTCACTCGTCCTTCTCTCTCGTCCCCCGCTGTGGTCACTCGTCCTTCTCTCTCCTCCCCCGCTGTGGTCACTCGTCCTTCTCTCTCGTCCCCCGCTGTGGTCACTCGTCCTTCTCTCTCCTCCCCCGCTGTGGTCACTCGTCCTTCTCTCTCGTCCCCCGCTGTGGTCACTCGTCCTTCTCTCTCCTCCCCCGCTGTGGTCACTCGTCCTTCTCTCTCGTCCCCCGCTGTGGTCACTCGTCTTTCTCTCTCGGCCCCCGCTGTGGTCACTCGTCCTTCTCTCTCGTCCCCCGCTGTGGTCACTCGTCCTTCTCTCTCCTCCCCCGCTGTGGTCACTCGTCCTTCTCTCTCGTCCCCCGCTGTGGTCACTCGTCTTTCTCTCTCGGCCCCCGCTGTGGTCACTCGTCCTTCTCTCTCGTCCCCCGCTGTGGTCACTCGTCCTTCTCTCTCCTCCCCCGCTGTGGTCACTCGTCCTTCCCCCGCTGTGGTCACTCGTCCTTCCCCCGCTGTGGTCACTCGTCCTTCCCCCGCTGTGGTCACTCGTCCTTCCCCCGCTGTGGTCACTCGTCCTTCTCTCCTTGTTTTCTAGCAGCCGGAGGATTTGGGGGAGACGGCTGAGCAAGCGGAAGACGATGATGAGAAGAACCGCCATGGCTTTCTCATCCTGAGCCGTGAGGACTCCACCATGGTAAGAGAATGGCGACAGCCCCGAGAATGGAGCACGTCTGATAACGATCTGCCCCTCCGACGTCCTCCTCCTCGCGCCGGGGGCGGGCAGTGTAAGGACAGAGGTGTCCCTGGAGGGAATCGGTGATATGGTCAGAGGTCATGGACCGGCTTTTATTAACGCACCATCGGCGCCGGCCAGCACCAGAGCTGCTATTAGATATCATGGGGCCCAGTATGACAGGGGGGCCCCCCTCCCGCTGTATGATACTGAGGTGTTGCAGTGCCGCCCACAGTCCTGATCACCAGGGAAACGTCCCGGCTGATACCGGTATATAGCACGCAGGTCAGGGGTCAACATTTCAAGTCCTGAGCTACTAGCCAGAGATACTGGCCACCGGTTGCCCGGCCTTACCCTGCCCCCGGTCTTAACTCCGCCCCTAAACACGCCCTCTTAAATAATCTTATAAATGACGTTGTTACATGTTTTATGCAGAATAAAGTTACAAGAATAAATATTAACTATTACCATAAAGCTCCCCCCCACATATAAAATAATACCCCCCCTTTCTCTGCCCCCACA